GAAGCCATTACCTTTTTTGTCCTAGGCACTATTGTTCCATTAATTCATTACCAGACTGAATAACAGTATTCTGGTCACTTATATTGAATTGGGAGGCAACAAAACTTCTTTTTCTTTCTTTTTGAAAATGATCAATTTCTAACTATGTCACTTTCATTTCACTCTTTTACAATTTGATCTTGGCACCCAGGTGTCATTTGCCTCTATTATATGTATTATGTATCTCTCCCTGTTAGAACAAATATGAGAGATGCTGACAATCACAGGAAGAGTGTAGGGACAAAGGCACATGAATAGGACTCTGAATAAATCTAGGAAATTCCACAATTGGCTGTTGTTAAAATAGGACTGCCAGATCAAGGGAGCTAATTCCAAAGCAATTCTAACATCTGACTTCACTACTTTTAATGCCCAGAGTTCTGGATCTAGCTTAATCTGACCAAAGAAATTTACAGCTACCTGCCCCAAGATGGGATTGGAGGTTGCACAGATCTCTGATAGCCAGATGATTCTAGAAGTTTCAAGTACGACTCCATGATCTCATTTACAGGAGCGATATGAATTTCAAAAACTTGGAAGTCAAGAAAAATATTTTGAACTAACAGATGTAAGGCTCAAGTGGAAACATTTTATATTTTAAATAGTTTTTATAGATACCTTTGTTTGCAAACATAAAAACATATAAATTGATTTATAGCAAACCTGAATTTTATGATCAGATATATAAAAATTTAGTGACAGTGAGAAAATTATGGGGAGAGTTTTTCCCCTGATTTTGGCATCAAACCAGATTTTCTCTCTAGACCCAAGAACAACTGGGTAGTTTTGGCTACCCTAGTACTCAAATCGTGGGCCGTGGGCTAGCACCACCAGTTTCTCCTGGAGCTTGTTAAAGATGGAGAATCTCAGGTCCTGCATTTTAACAAGATTCCTAGGTGATCTGAATGCACCTTAAAGCCTGAGAAGTACTGGTCTCGTATAGCATGAGCCACATGTACTCGTGTATTCAAATTGTCTTCAGAGAAATGTTTATGCAAGTCATCTCTTCAGAGTATAATGCACCTATTCCTTGGTGAAAGCAGACAGGACAGCTAAATGCAGAGCAGTAACAACAATACGGACATGCCCTCNGGAAATGCAATGCCCAATGGGCTTTTAAGGTTTCTGGAGGAAGAATATTCCATATCTAGGAATACTACTCTAACCAACATATTGGGTAAGGAACGGATGTCAGCTGAGCATGAATATGCTCAACAGCAGACTAAAATGCAAGTTGCTATGTTTCTTGCCCATATGATCCAGCAGCTCTTATGGCAGATCTATTGCAAATTGGCTAGGCTGAGAGTCCAGCCTTCTCTGGAGCTCTGGTATTGTCACCGTTAAGACCTGCATTGGGTCCTCAGATTTCCCTGCTCTTTGTCAGCATGAGAGGAGAATCTTCATGTGTTCCAAAGAGGCTGTCTGGCTTTCATATCTCACCTTTAATTGCTGATTAATCATTTTGTGCCTTCTATTGTCTTTTTCCAAATCATCTAATGCTTCCAGCAATAGCCATTTTTCTTAGAATTACTAATTTCTTTATAGTTCTCAAATACTTGATACATTACACTTCCTAGTGCATTTCCTTCTACCAGTTTGCCGTGTTTCAGTTCACAACAGACAGTTTTCTCAATTGCACTGCTACTTTATGCAGGGGCTGTCCAGGCTCCCTGTATGACCAGAAACGCAGTCCTCATTACCAGCTGGCTGGCACAGCATTCAGCTCCAAAATCCCTCTTTAGCCTCTGCTTTCTTGAACAACTCCTCCTACCCATTTTTGCAGATTAGGCTGCCTGGTAAGCTTACAGATAGGGAGATGAGCAAGCAGACCATTTATTTTGGCATCTTTTAAGGACTACACCTGCAGGGGAAGAGGAACAAGCAGGATTAGGCAGAGGGAGACGCTGAAGATGAGACAGTCTCAGCAAAGGCGTCAGTGACCCCACAGGAGGCGCTGAAGCTGAGATGACCATTCAGATTGGATGGGAGCTAGGGAGGTGAGGTTGGGACATATATACCCCTGCATCAACCAGTCCTTGGATACAGGCTGCTGCTGGGAAGGGAGCATGACATTGGGTGAAATCAATTCCCAGAGACTGTCAGCTGCTGCCAGCACATGCCCGGCAGCTGAGGGAATAAGTGCTTCAGTCCTGAAGGTGGATCTGATGACCCAGCGTGGCCTCCATACTGTATTACTTTCCCAGTCCTCACTGTGCTGCCTGGATCACCTCTAGAGTAAAGTTTTTTCACTAAAATCCTCGGATCAGGGCCGGCTTCTGGTGAATCCCTGAACTAGACACTCTCCCATGAGGCTAAGCAATTTTAAGACAGATATTGTAGTAGTAAATATAATAATTACTAATTATCACAGCAATCACTAACATTTGGGGTCTATTTTACGGGTAATGATTCCAAATCTCGTTTTCTTTATCTCTAAAGTAGGGGTGTTTGATAAGACGACTGCTAAGATACTTTCTATCTCTAATGTTCTAGCAATTGCTTTTCTGCTC